AAGGAAAATGAGCTGATTCTGGGAACCCAAGAGGCAAGCGAATTTTGGAAATGATGAGGGCAACAAATGTATAGATGTGCTTTTCACAATTGATCTATGTATTGTGATGAATTGTATGAGCCCCAATAAATTGATTTAAAAAAAAAGAGTTACTATGAGTTGGAATTGAAAAAAAAAAAAAGTTCTCTCTTACACACATATGAGTGTCTATAAATTGGTTTCTCTAGCCAACCCAGACTAACACACTCTACTAAGAAGCAGTCTGGCTGTATTTCCTCCAAGACATATGTTTTTTTGTTCTTCTGGTAGTCTGTTACTTTCAATATTATTTGCTGACACCATAATTCAAATGCATCAATTCTTCTGTGGTATTACTCATTCAATGTCCAACTTTGGCATGCATATGAGATGAATGAAAATTCAGGACTTGGGTCAGATGCATCTTAATCCTCAAAGTGACAGCCTTGCTCTTTAACACTGCAAAGAGGTCTTGTGCAGCAGATTTATCCAACGCAATGTGTTGTTTGAGTTCTTGCTGCTGTTTCCATAAGCATTCCAGGTAAAATGAAATCCTCAACCACTGCACTCTTTTCTCCATTTATGTTGTCTACTGTGAAGTTTTTGTTTTCTTTACACTTTTTCAATGTAAATAAAACAGATTGAATACATATGATGAAAAGGATACAACCCTAACGCACACCATTCCTGTTTAAAACCAACCAGTATCCCCTGTTCTATTTGAATGGCTGCTTCCTGGCCTGTGTATAGGTTCTTCATGAACACAATTAATCATTGTGGAATTCGCATTCTTCACAATTGTATCCATGATTTTTATCATCTCCACAGTCAATGCCATTGTGTAGTCAACAAAACACAGGCAAACATCTTACTGGAATTCTCTGCTCTCAGTCAAGATCTATCTGGCATCAGCAATGATATCTTTTATCAAATGTCTTTTCCTGAATCTGACTTGAATGTCTAGCAGTACCTGCAGCAACTGTTTTTGAATGATCTTTAGCATAATTTTACTTGCATGTAATAATGTTCATGGTAATGTTCAATAATTTTGTGTTCTGTTAGATCATCTTTCTTTGCAATAGGCATGAATACGAGTCTCTTCCAGTTGGTTGATTAGGTAGCTGCCTAGCAAATGTCTTGGTATAGAATAACGAGTACTTCCTTTATTGCATCCATTTACTGAGACATCTTAATTGGTACGTGGTTAATTTCAGGAATCTTGTTTCCCACCAAAGACTTCAGTACCACTTGAATTTATTTATTTATTTTTTTAAGGGGACACTGGCTTTAATAAAGTTGGATTAAAAAGTCACTTAGTAAAAGGTTTTAAGCGCTTGTTTGCTTTTTTTATCACATGAAAAAGTTGACATGCAGGTCCGAGTTCTGGCTCCCACCCCTGTAGAAAACCCACAGAACCCACGTGACTTTCCCGGTCTTGTCGGTTCCTTAAAGGGGCTGCTGTTGTGGGGAAAACAAATTTTGAATTTATTTTTTCAGTACGATTGGTCACATGCTACCTCTTGAAATGATTGGACATAAACTAATTCTTTTTAGTACCATGATTCTGTACATTCCTCTCTCTTCTTTTTGTTGCTTCCTGCATTGTTCAAATTTTTATACATAGAATCCCTCAATATAGTAACTCTAGGCTTGACTTTTTTTCTTCAGTTCTTTCAACTTGAGAAATGCTAAACAATGTTTTATTTATCTTGGTATCAAAGAACCTAGAAAATGCATATATATCAAACACAAACCTACTGCTGTGGAATCGGTTCTGACCCATAGTGACCCTATAGGACAAAGTAGAACTGCCCCTTTAGATTTCCAATGCTATAAACCTTTATGGGAGTAAAAAGCCTCATCTTTCTTCTATGGAGCAACTGATAAGTTTCAATCACTAACCTTGTAGTTAGGGCCCCAATCTATAAACCATCAGCACTCCTTTTCTTACACATAGTGTTTACAAAATAAGTGTTTGTCAACCAGATAGTAACTAAATGCCTGTGGAAATAGTCTTCCTTAGTGGCAGACTAAACTATTCTGCCTATAATTGAATATATCAAGTGCGAGTTCTTTTAAAAAGTGAGAACATATGAGAGCAAACTTAACTTCTATGTATCATAATTATTTAAATGCTTTAAGACATATTTACCTTGACAGCACCAATAGCCGTATCAAGTGTTGAAACCTCGTGGTCTTTGTGGGTGCCAAGCATCTTGTCAGTAGACGAAATTGGGCTTTTGCACGTGTAACAGTATGAGTCGATCTGGGCCTTTTGGGGTTCCTTTTGTGCCTTCTCTGTGGCTACCTCTGATGATGATAGCTCTTGTTCTGTCTTCTCTCTCCCCATCTCTCTCTGTGTAGCAGATGCAGTTTGTTCCTCCTCCCTCACAAATTCACTTTCACTAATGGGTTCAAAGGATTGCTCTCCTCGGGCTAAGCCAGCTTCAGGTGTGGAATCGGAACACAGTTCATCTGAGAAAAGGTCTTCAGTGACCACTTCGTAACTCAGAGATTCAGCAAATCCGTAGTCGTCTTGAACAGGGCTATTCCGGAGCCTATGTTCCCGTGGCTCAGGAGAGACCATCTCAGGTTCTTCTTGCAGGGTTTCTTGAATATAAGTTGCACCTGATGCAAATTCTTCTTCGGGGAAGGACACTTGGACTGGGACATTCAGGTTGGCTTCTGGAGTTGCACCTCCTGCTGCATTACCCTCGCTGCTAGTTTCATCTACTCTCTCTAGGACATTGTGGGTGTCTTCAAATGGAACTGCATAGCTTATCTTCTGGGTAACCACATTGACTTCCTCCCGGACAGGCACTTGCCGTTGGATCCCTACATCATCAAGTGTCTCCACACGACCGACAGTTCCTCCTTCCCTACAAACAGCTTGCTGTGCCTCTTCCTGATTCCTCTCCAAAACAGTTCCAAACCTCCCCCAAATTTCCCCTTCTGCAGCTACCGGTTGGCATGAATCATCCTCACCAACTGGTTTTTCTCCCAGGCCTTGGCCTGGGTCCTTTTGAGTTACAGATGTGTCGTGGAGAATGTCATCTTTGAGTATGTACTTCTCAAAATATATGCCTGTTCCATCATCAGTGTCAGAATGTCTGCTGGGAAAGGATGCCTCAGAATTCACGCTGTCATCTTCCGAAAGTGTCTCCCCCTCCCTCTGTTTCTCTCCAACAGCCTCTTTGTACAGATCCTTGTATGAAAACGCAAGTGCGGGCGCCTCCTCCAAGTGCTCTGGATTAATGAGTTTAACCGTGTCCAGAAATGCCTGACTTCGTGACAAAACTGCTTCCTCTGCCTCAAATAATGGCATCCCGGGGGCCCTGGAGTCCACATCAATAGGTCTGCCTTTGGCCTCATCTCTGTCGGGTGATTTTTGGATAACCAGAGATGTTGGTGTCTCTGAGTGAGATAATTTGCTCTGGTCCTTCTCTGGTCCATAAAAACTTTCATCCAATTTCACCAAATCATATTCGTGTTCTAGGGCACTTTCTCTGGGCCTTTCTGGGAAAGAGAGAGTTTCTTCCGAAACTTCCGGAGTGAACTCCTCTTCAAAATGTAATTTCTGTGGAAACTTCTGTTTTTCTGGGGCTGGGGAGATGTTATAATCAATCAAAGTGTATTTTTCAAAGTAATCCTCTTCACTTGGAATTGAGGACTGAATCAAGGTTAAGTCATCATTTCTGGAATCTGTGGATATTTCCTCTTCCGGCTTAGAAGCTTCCTTTGTTTTATGTTCTTTTAATGCTGTAACTTTTCCACCAGACTCTTCTAAGTGGCTCTGTAAGACATCCTGCTGAGCAATTGGCTCACTGTCGTCATGAAATGGTTTGGTGTTAAGTAAGGCCTTCTCTTCCAGATATTCTAACATAGCTGGCACGTGTTCCCTTTCCTCCTGGTCAACTGAAGGAATGAAGGCAGAGGCATGAATATTCAGGATCTCACAACCTTCAGAAATGATATTGAAGGCGCTCTTTTGATCTTCTGAAAGGCCAGTTGGCTTGCTGGTCACAGTGAATTCCTCTTGTGCATACGTGTCTTCAGGGTCCCGGGCGATTTCCTTAGTAAGAGCCGTTTGATCGGTATTGGTTGTTGATGCATTCATTATAAACTGAGTGTAGTTGCTGCTTTCTGAGCGTGGTTCCTTTCGGTGGCCCTCTTCCTCAGCCTCCAGATGATGCTTGGAAACAAAGATGGGTGGCTTTGGCTTCACAGAAGTATGAGTTTTGGTTGCTTCACCCAAACACCGACCTAAAGAGAGATCTGATTCTTCAAGCATAGACCGAGCAACATTCACAGGAGACTGGATTTCTTGCTGCTTCGTCTCTCCTGCAAATACGGGTGAGCACCTTTCTCTTTCTCCTCGCTCCTCCTCAGAACCAGTGATCATTTTGGATCTTTCTTGGTGACCTTCATTTCCACAGACTTGCGGCAGAGCAGCAGCTTTTAAGACTTCTCCTGTAATAGGTCTAGAGTCAAAGGTAACTGGTGGCTTTTGTAGTTCATCATTATCTTTCAGTTCTGATGGAGCCAGCTTTCCTTGTTTCTCTGCCAGCGCCTCCTTTTCCGCCAAGGGATGTGATCTCGTTTCCAAGTTATCGTTCTCCTCAGTCGAGTGAACAGAATCGAGTTTTGTTTTCTCTTCAGAAATGTTCAAAGAAAGGGATGTTGGCCTTTCTTCCTTGTGTCTGTCTTTACCAACATCACTTAAACTGCCTTTTGATTCTTCCACTGGCAAAATTATTGACGCTGACGTCTCTGGATCCTGGGTGATATTTATACTTGTGAAGTTGGATGAGGCAGATGTTGGTGGTGGTGAAGTCTTATCTACTGCACTAAATGAAAAGAGGGAGTTTTCTTTTGGGTCACTTCTCAGCTCCTCCTTAAGAATAGAAACTTTCCATGTTGAAGGAGGAGAGATTGCTGGTTTCTGGGCTCTTTTACTCTCAGTGACCTGAAGGGCAACTACGTGTTTGGCTTCTCTCAGAACCGAGTTCTCATCTGTGAAATAACAGGGTTGCATTCCAAGGTGCTCCTCACCACCAGCGGATGTAACTTCTGGGTTTATATCTATTTTTTCTACAGCGTCTAGGGCTTCTTTCTTTCCATGGTCTTCACTAGATGCTTCAGCATTGGAAGTCAGCTGCTGTGATTCAACAGTTGGTAAAAATGGGGGCTTTGCTTTAAACTCTTGGCCTTCCCTCGACTTTTCTAAAGAAGCTCTCGATTGTTCAGTAATTTTAAGATTCGCCTCTGCTAATGGGTGACCAACTAGATTCTCATTTGCCCTGAAGCCATCCGGGGTGGCTAGAATCGCACCTTCAGGCTCTGTAGCAGGCTCTGCTTTTTCTGCTGGTTGATTTGGCTGTACTTCGGTATCTTCTTTTTGGGCAACTTCGTTTTCTGAAGTGCTTGATCCAAAAAACAAATTGGACATCCATGATTTCAAAGACAAAATTCCTTTCTTTCCCTTTTCTTCAGGAAGGACTGGCTCAGCCGCCTTTGGCAGTTCAGGCAGCCTTTGCGTTTCCTCAGACACCTCTGTGGGCCTCGGGGCCTCGGGAGCTGGGATGGTCGAGAGGGGTTTTCTTTGTGTGGTCGTTTTCGCGGCAGGTGCAGCAGCATCTGCCACTTCGGACGGAACTACTTTTGATTTTTCTAATGGCTTCTCTCCAGGGACAAGTGATGTGGTCATTTGTGCTTCTTTCTCAACACTTGGAGGAGGTTTTAGATCTGCTGCCAGAAAATGGGCCGCTTTGGTGGAAGAGGAAATTGTTTCTGACTCAACTGGTCCCATTGATAGGCCAGAAACTGGTTTCTGGAAGATACTTTCTGACGGCAATTTGATTTCTTCCTGGCTGTTTTCTTTGGAAGGTCTAGAAAATTCTGTGCTTGCTTTCTCCAATCTCAAACTTTCACTCTCTACAGGAGAATGGCCCTGCTTTCCCTCTGCTAGGTTTCTCTCCACATTTCCAGCTGGAATTCTAGATTTTGCTTCTTGGGTCAGTTTGCTTTCTTCAACATGGTAAGCCTTAGTTGACTGTGTCTCTACATTCACACTGGAGCGCTCTGGAGTAGAGGTTGGTGCTTGTAACGCTGAATGGGATTCAGCCGCAGCAGGCGGCAGAACTTGCTTTCTGACTTGAGATGGGTGCTCTTGACGCGACAGAGTGGGCGTAAGCTGCCCTGTCATCAGATCACTGAGGCCCGAGGGACCTCGCTGCTGCCCAGATCCCAATATCTGCTCTTCCTCCTGACTGGCCAGACCTCTCTCTGGCTTCTCGAGCACCCGGTTTGCATCCATTGGAGGGACAAGTGGCTCTGTCATTTTTGTTTCCTTAACAGCTGTCAACTCGGTTGCCACCAATGACTTGGATTCTTCCAAAGGCTCATTTTCTTTCAGAGAGGAAAGTTGTTTACTCCCCAGAGCTTGTTTATCCGCAAACGTGTCGCTTACCTCAGGCAGTTTGACAGCTTTCTCTGAAAGAAGTGTTTTCCCGGGCTTCCTTTGTTCTTCAAGGAGGTCAGCAGAGGGGCTCTTGGGTGGTTCTGCTAAGCTCGGGGGCTCGGGGCCAGTTTCTTCACTTTGCTTCACTTTGTTTCCTGTCCTTTGTGACGCTGAGGTCTCTGGCGATGGTGATGTGCCTAGCTCTTGTTGCCCTTCTTTTTCGTAGTTGGTTGAAGAGTTCACCTCCTCTGATAATCCTTTTAAAGTCGTAGGAGGTGGCTGCCGTTTTCCCAGCTGTTCGCCTTCAAGCAGAGAGGTAGATGCTTCTTTTGACCCCAAGCTAACTCCTTTAAGAGAGACAGGTTTACTTTCTTGACTCTGAGATTCTTCCTCAAGGCCTGATGAAGTCTTAGAAATTTCAGGCATCACAGCAGATGTGGGGATGGAATCTTCTGGCACCAAATTGTCCAAGCTGGGAGATGAACCGGGTATTTCCTCCGTCCTCTCTGTTGGAACTGTCTGCTTTGATGCGGGCGACACACTTTGTAGTGAAGGAACCTCCGTTTCTTTTTCCTTTATGTCACCACCGAGCTTGGGTGGAAGCAAAAGTTCAGGCCCTGGCTTCTCTGAGGAAGATGCGGAGTTCTGTTTCTGCGCTACAGTCACTTGCTCAGCGGTGAGGACTGTAGAAAATGGAAGAGCCGGGTCCTTTTCCACCTGTGCTTCCTTAGATACCTCCGACTGCACTGACGGAGCTATTTTGGTGATTGGCAACTCGGGTTTCACTTCTTCCCTTTCTCCTTTTGGTGAAACAGAATGCTCTGATAGAGAGGAGACACTTGGAGGGGAATCGAACTGAATTCCTTTCTCTGCTTCTGACCACCATTTGGGTGCAGTAGCTTCCGTGGGAGAAGAAGCACCTTCAGCTGCTACATTTGCTTCTTCTTTAGCAATCGAACGCTTGTCGATTGATGTTACGGAGGGAGGCAAGCCAATTTCGAATTCACCCTTTCCTACTTTTGTTAAGACTGGTTGTTCCACAGGGGTGCTAAGTGGTGAAGCTGAGGGGATTTCTTCTTTCTCTGCTGTCACTAGACTGGAATCAGGTGGAGTTACAGGTGTGATTTCAGAAGTACCGGATCCAACTTCTCGCTTCATTTCTTCTGGGGAAGCTGAGAATGCCAGTGCAGGTGGGTCATGTCCCACCTCCTTCTCCACTCCAGATAAAGATACACGTGGAACTCCAGGTGTAGCTGTTGTTTGAGAACCATGTTTAATGTCTGTTTTCACTGCTGATGAAACCTCAGGTCCAGATAAAGATGCTTCCTTTAGGGGTGACCGCGCTTTGATTACTTCGGGCTCATTCTTGGACGCCATCCACGGTTCCGGTTCAGATGTCGCACTTGGCGCCACATGGAGCTTGGCATCCTTCTTTGGCTCATGGACCAGCTCAGGCACAGCTGGAGGCTCCGTTTGGGACTCAGGAACAGTTGGAGCCCGAGGCTCCAGTCCTTTCGAGTGTTCTGTCACAGCTTGAGAACTAGGCACCGTTTCTTCCTTGCTGACTTTTGACCAAGCCATCTGCTCACTCAGAGCCTTGGGAATGACTGAGGCTTTGGGCTCCTGTTCTTTCTGAATCGCATGAACTGAATCTGGGGACCCTGGTGCACACAGAACTGTTTTGTCTTCTTCCTTTACTATGGGAGACTGTACAGACAAAGAAACAGGTGCTGTCGTGGCTGGTGCACGAGTCTGAATTTCTCTCTTCTCCAATGCATTGGGTGGAAGTGGTGGCATTAAGTCTTCAGACTCAGGCACGAGCGTTGCTTGGATTTTCTGATTCTGTGCCAAAATAAGATATTCGGACACAGATGTTGAGGTTGTTTGAGCCTCTGGCTCCATTTCGGCCTTCTCGGCTCTGTTCACCAAAGGTGGCTGCCTCACACCTTCCGGGGCAGACAGCACGGGAGAAGGTGCATCTGTTCCGTCCGGTGACAAAGTGAGGAGGTCAGGTACGGGTGTGGAAGCTGTGGATCCGAATTCTTCCTCATCTGCTTCTGGAAAATGGGATGTTCCCAAGGCAGACACTGTGGTTAACGAGGAATCGGACTCAGCCTCACTTCCCTTTGTTTCTGGGACTCTATATGGTGGGATTGAAACTTGCGATGCTGAATCTGGAGAAAAAAGTCCTGTCTCTTCAGTCTCTTCATCAGACAACGTGGTGTGATCTGAGGGGGATGTTAAGTATATTGGGGAATCGCGTGCAAATTCTCTTTTCTCCGCTTCCAGAGTGGCATCTGGTGAAAACGAGAATTCTGAAGCAAATGCAGAATCTGGAGAGAAAGGCCCAATATCTTCTTGCTCTTCTGGTAGATTCATGGGTGGGCCAGCACCTTTTAGACTTAAAGGGGAACCATAGACATTGTTTCCCTTCTGTGATGCTTCAGTAGCATGTGGTGATACAGAAAATTCAGAAGCCGTCGTGGAAGCAGAGGTTTCCACCGTCTCCTCTTCCGATGGGACCACGTGTTCGGATGGAGTCGCCGCAGGTAGTGGGGACTGGCACTCCGAAGTGGCTTCCGTTGTGGACGTGGAGAGGGACTGCTCAGATCCGGGGGCTCCCTCTGGGAAATGCGACCCAGTGTGTGCCTCCTCTTCTTCTGACAGAATCATGTGCTCAGCGAGGCCTTTCGATTTGAAGGCGGACTCGCGGTCAATTGCTTTCTTCTGGGGTTCCTTCGGTGCTGGCGCTGAGTCGTCGTCGGGAGCCACTCTGGGCTCTGTGGTGGGATCCTCCCCCTCGGAGGCTGCGGCTCCTGGCAGGGCCATCTGTTCCGAGGGGGCTCTCGGAGACGGTGGGGACTGCCATGCTGAGCTCCTCTCCGTGGCAGGTGGTGTCAGCGAAGGTTCAGACACAGAGGCCTCCACTGAGAAAGAAGGCTCCCAGTCCCCAGGCCCTGCATCCGACAACACTGCACCCTCAGCTGCACCCTGGACCGGGGATGGAGACACCAGCTCAATGTCAACGTCTGTCCTCGCCGGCTCCTGGTTCAAGTCCGGTGGGAGTGAATACTCCGAGGCAAAAGCAGAGTCCGTAGAAACAGACTCATTTTCCCCTCGTTCTTCTTCAGAGAGCACGACTGATGTTGTCCCTAACGGTAACAGGGGCTCCTCTTCTTCCTGCCCCACTTCAGGGGCCAACCGTGGTGGGAAGGACTGCTCAGAAAGGAATGGACTTTCTGGGTAATCAAGTTCTATGATCTCTTCTTCGACAGAATTCCAATCTTCCGGTTCGGGACTGGCAGTCCCTGGGAGGGCGGTTCCCAGTTCTCTCTCTGGTTCTGCTGGCACTAGCGGATGAGGAAGAGAACTGACGGGCTCAGACAGGTTTTCTTCCGTGTCTTCTTGGATACCCGGAGGAAAGGTCGCTTGTTCGAAGGCTGGTTCTTCCCTTTCTAGTGAAGTCAAGTCTGGCTGCTCTTTCTCTATGCCCAAACCTTCCTGAAAGGATGCTACCAGACCCGGTGGACCTGTCTCTGGAGAATCCCTCTCTGCTTCCAGTGAAATGGAATGCTCAGAAGGATACACTTCTTCCTGCATTACCTTGTCAACTAAAGATGGTGCGATTGAAGCTTCCTTCTCTGAATTGATAGTTACTTGTGAGTCGAGCTTAAAATCTTCCTGGACTGTTTCCAGTGACACGGTTGCCGATGTATCGGATATAGGAGAGGAAGATTCTATTTCGTGTGTTTTTGCTTCATCGCCTGCCTGTTGTGAGATTGGCCGTGAAGAGGGGGACCGTATTTCTTGTTCTGCTTCGTCAATTCTTGAAAATGAGGGAATTGTGCGCTTGGCTGCAGATGCTACATGTAGAGGTGAATCAACATGAACTTTCTTGTGATCTTCGGGACTAGAGCCTGCGGTGGTTGATCCTCTGGAGAGTGCCCCTCTCCAAGGTGGAACTAGCTCTTTCTCTTCTGTGCTTTCGGTCAAGAATTTGCCTGTTTTGGAAACTGCATTCGAATCAGGGTTGCCTAAGTCTGGCTCTAGACTAATGGATGCGTCTTTCCCTTTCCTATAATGTATTTCTTTAATGACATAACCCTTTGGCAATGTTCCATAAAATTGGAGCGGGATTAGTTCTTCTTTAACGGAATTAAACATCTTGATTTTGTATTCAACTGTTCCTATGTAGACTGGCTTCAGCACTAATGGCTTGTGTTCTTTGTATATTGCCCCCGTGATAGGAGGTGTATTGGAGGCAGTTTTCTTTGTTCTCGTCTTATCATGCATGCCAACAGATGGTTTCTCTTGCTCAGTGTTGGGCACTTGATTTTCTGAAATCAAAGGACCATCTTTTTTGTTTGCTGGAACATCTTGGGATTCTAAAGAAGGTCTCTTTTTTTTGCCTTTTCGGCGCAAGGATGGTGAGCCATGTTTTGACTTCTGGGTTCTTCTCCGAGATTTTTTAACTTCATCCACAATAAATGAAACATTCCCTGGAGGAGAACTCACAGTTGACCCTTCCAGGCTGCACACACCAGAAGTCTGACTTTCCTCCAAGTTCCAGGGAGTTGAAGACCTACTTGAATTGGTCTCCCAGGTTATTCCACTGTCTTCCCATTGAGTTGTCACCATGGAAAAGGAAGGGTCAGATATGAGGCACTCCTGCTTGATCTTGCCCTCTTCATCCTGGTCTGATAACCTACAGTAAATAATAACAATAAAAAAACACATTTTACCAGGTGGGAAATTAAAATATAGAGACCAATATTGCTATCCAAATCAAAAATAAAGAAACTGAGATACCAAATACAATTACATATCCTAGGTAGGAATGAAATTCCAAAACTCAAGATGCTAACATTCAATTCACCACCTTCTTTTATCATATTGCCTCCCGGGTCTCCCTGTAGTGTCACCCAGTCACTCAGGCAAACTCTCTAGTGGCCAGGACACTCAGAATGATCTTGTATCTCTCTTCTGGTTGTTGCCAGCATCACCATGTGACTGTGGCTAGTGATCCCTTCAAGGAGCCCTGGTGGCATAGTGGTGATACGTTGAGCTGAGATCCGCAAAGTCTGAAGTTCAAAACCACCTTTCTCCCCTGGAGAAAGACAGGGCTTTCTACTCCTGTAAATAGTTATAGTCTTGGAAATTCATGAGGCAGTTCTACACTGTCCTATAGGGTCACTATGAGTCAACATCGACTCAATGGCAGTCATTGGGGTTTGCTGTGTTGATCACTTCATCTCTAGTTTATTGTTGATCACTTCCTACTATCTTTTCTGTCTACCTTTACTAAAAACTTCCCTCATGATGCTCCCCTGCTCAACAATGTTTCACCCCTACAGGGCAACTAGAATTCCAAATTCTTAAGTATCTGCTCCTTAGTGGGCCTATTTCCATGTACTCACCTCTATTCTACCTGTATATAGTATATAGTAAAATGCTATTCTCCTCTATCTAACTCACTGTCCAATCAATATCTCATGGGAACTTCAGTCAGGGCCATCAAGGGACAAGGACCACAAACCCTGAAACCAGATCAACTTCTGAGCTTTCATTTCCTCACCTGTAAAATGTGAATAATAAGAGAACCCACCCCATGGAGCTATAAAGATTAAATTAGTTAGCATACAAAAATAATGTTTAGAAATAGTGCCTGACATGTAGTAAGTGTTCAATAAATACTATCTGTACTCAGACCTACCATACAATCATTGCACAAGAGATCAAGGAGCTTGGAGGTGGTCATTTTTAACAACTAGGGGTATTCTCTTTGAAGAGGTGGTCTCCTTGGACTGCTTCCAGGCCCCCTAAAGAAGCAGCTGCTTTTGGCTGCCCCTCCAGTTCCATTGGACCGCCCATTCAGATTCAGCAGCATGCTTCTTATCTGGACTTTCCTTACACTTCTTCCTCACGCGTGCCCCTGCTATTCTGCAATCTAGAATGACCATCTCCTCTGTATATCTTATGTCACTTCCTCTGTATATCTAAATGCAATCTACTTTCCAAGGTCTAATTTTAAGCTCTCATTCTTACCATTCTTCAGCAGCTCAACAGTTACATTTGCCTTCACCTCGTACACAGAAAGTTTAAGCCTCCAAAGTCCATTTCTTCCAAGTAATATGGTGACAATTTGCAATAAATCCAAGTTATTAACTAATTTAACTTTTTCTAAAACAAAAAAGACAAAATCAGAAGCACATTTATGTTTAGCCCACCATGTATTAAATTAAGGCGTTGTAAAAGATAGGCCGAATTTTTAAAAAATAATTCTATTGGGGGCTCATACAACTCTTATCACAATCCATTCATCCATCTGTTGTGTCAAGCACATTTGTACATCTGTTGCCATCATCATTCTCAAAACATTTGCTTTCTACTTGAGCCCTTGGAACCATCTCTTCATTTTTTCCCTCCTCCCCCACCCTCCCTCACGAACCCTTGATAATTCATAAATTATTATTATTATTATTTCATGTCTTACACTGGCCAATGTCTTGATAGGCAGAATTTAAATCCCTCACTAAACCTTTTTTTTTTAAATCACCAGTCACTAAGCACACTTGGGAACCACTGAAAGTGTCATAGATTGAATTGTGTCCCCACAAAATATATGTCAAGTTGACTGAGCCATGATTCTTGGTGGTCTGGCAGTTACATAATTCTGTGATCGTCCCCCCATAATGTGATCAGCCAATCTAATGTAGGGAATTAATATGGGATGTAACACCCTTACTCGGGTCCCATCCCTGATCAAACATAAGGGGTGTTTCCATGGAGAATGACCTACACCATATTCTATAATCAAACAAACTCAACTGCCATGGAGTTGATACCAACTCACAGTGACCCTACAGGACAGTGTAAAATGGCCTCATTTGAGTTCCTGAGACTGTGACTGTTCATGGAAATAAAAAGCCCTGTCTTTCTCCCACAGAGTAGCTGATGGTTTGGAATAAAAGAAGGAGAAGCAAGCAGAGAGGAGGATCCTACTGTGACCAAGAAAGAAGAGCTGGGAGCACAGTACAGTCATAGAATCTAAGGTCCTAGCCCCAGAAGAAGATTGTTGTCAAGACACATGGGTATCTCCAAGGGACATCAGACCCAGATGCTGAAAGGAGACAAGTACCTTTCTCCTAAACGGTAAGTCGTTAGAGAGAAAAAGGCTTTCCCTGGAGTTTGTGCCCTGAACCTGCAGTTCTAGATCCCTAAACTTAAATTTCTATTGATAACAGCCCCCTACTTATAGCATTTCTGTTGTAGCAACACTAGACAACACATGGGGAGCACACTTGGCAACCTAACACACATGGGGAGCATTTATTTGACCAATACTAATGCCACCCTAGCATCAAAGACATAAATATAGGACTAAAGCCATATAACCCTTGGAAGAAAGAATAAGGGTGGGCCATGCTTTAGGACCTAATCTTTAACAATGGAATCTTCTATATGACCTCAAAAAGACAAGCAACAAAAGAAAACATAGAGAAATTAAATATCATCAAAAATTAAAACTTTCATACATCAAAGGACCCTATCAACAAAATGAAGATTGACAACTCACCAATAAGGACATGAAGAGATATTCAACATCATTAATTAATTAATCTCACTACCCATTGCCATTAAGTTAATTCTGACTACTCGGTAACTCTATAGAACAGAGTAGAACTACCTTACAGGGTTCCTAAGAATATACTTTTATGAAAGCAAACTGATATATCATTCTTCTTTAAGACGACTGGTATGTTTGAACTTCCACCTTTCAGTTAGCATTGGAGCACTTAACCACTGCACTACCAATGCTCCTGATCATTAACCATTAGGGAGATGCAAATCGAAACCACTATGAGATACTGCTTCAATCCCACTAGGATGGCTAAAATATTTAAACAAAACCATAATACAACAGAAATATATGTTGATAGAGAAATTAGAAACCTCATCCATTGCTAATGGAGATGAAAAATTACATAGCCAGTCTGAAAAATGGTATTACAGCTCCTCAAAAAGTTAAACATAAAATGACCATATGACCAAGCAAGGAGCCCTGGTGGCACAATGTGTAACCTGCAGGGCTATAAACTGCAAAGTTGGTAGTTCGAACTCACCAGCCACTTCGAGGGAAAAAGATGAGGCTTTCTGCTTCTGTAAGGAATCGTAGTGTCATAAAGGCTTAAGGAGCAGCTCTGCTCTGTCCTGTGAGGTTACTCTGTGTGAAACGGACTGGAAGCCAGGGAGCTGGGGGTTTGTTTTGAGGTACATGACCCAGCAGTTCCACTCTTAGGTCTAGACTCAAGAGACTTGCAAGGGGCAATCCAGAGAGAAACTTGGACATCCATGGTCACTGCTGTACTTTTCACAATATCCAAAAGGTGGAAGTGACCAAAATGTCCAGCCACCCATGAATGGATAAACGATGCATGCATACCTTGTAAAATTCCTCCTTGAATGTTGAGTGAAACTAGTCACCCACAAAGGGACAAACACTATATGATTTCACTAATACAAAAATACCTACAAGTGGCAAAGGTACAGAGATTAGAGTTAAATCATGGTATGTATGGCTGAAAGGGGTGAGGGAAGAAGAGAACCATTGTCTAGTTAGCATAGAAATTTTGTTTATGGTGATGAAAAATTTGGCAACAGATACTGGTGATGGTTGCACATGATTATGTAATGGTTTTTGCCTTCTATAATTGTACATGTGAAAATGTTGAATTAGTAAATAGTACATTCTGTATATTTTTACAATAATTAAATGTCTTGGGAAATATATCAATGGGCACCCCATAGTCCTCTCCACAGAGACTTGGATTTAACTGAACTGGGGCAAGATCAGGCACTGCTATATTTTATGTTTCAATTGCTTCCAGAGGATTCCAAAATGCATCTGGAGCTGAAAGTCACTGGTCTGTGCAGAGACTTAAATGGTGCATGCCTTTTTCTTGCTTAATCTGAACTCTTCCTAGTTTGTTAGGTTTGGCTAAGGACCAGGACCATAAATCCTTGCTGGCAGCATCTACCACCCTTTCGTAAACTGTAGAGTTTCCCCAGCATCTGCTGCAAAGTGGATTTGGGTGTGCTGGAATACTGATATTCTTCATGCCCAGCACAGCCAGATGGAGCGTGGGGCAGCCAGAGCCTTTGAGCCACTGGCCTGCCACAGCAAGCCACCTCCTCCATTCATCCCAGGATGCTAGAAAAAATAACACCCTGAGCGAACAGGGTTGAGAAGCAGTGGGAAATTGATTTTTTTTTCTCCTCCTGGCAACTCTGCTCGCACTTATCTGCTCTGGAATTCAACAACTGAGCTTAATTAGGAGTTAATGCCCTATCTTGGTCCTGAGCAGAATCTTGGTTCTGTTAAGACGATTTTTTTTTTCCCAGAGTCTTTCACCAAGCAAATTAAAGCACTTCCTTAGAATTTTCAACTTCTACTATTCCACCTTGCTTCATGTAACTTAACAGAAGCAAGATAAAATTTAAAATTGGGGTTATGACATATGTCTGGGAAGTCAGCATTTTGCATGCCCATGATTGTAAGAGCATTACAAAAGCAATTATACATTCAATTTAGAGCTAATTAGTGATTGTAAATTCAGTGTACCCAACCAGGGACGTTTTCATTACTGCTGGAATGAGTTCATGAGCACTTGGCAGCAAACGGCCCTGAGACCATTCCCTATGAAT